GTTCTTAAACATACACTAATATAGATGGGCTTTGGTGAAACAAAAGTTGGGTTACGTTATTTTATAAAATTTCTAAATCCAAGGTTAGAGTTAATGGGTGTTGTTCAGAATTTTTCAATGTGGAGCGAGGGGTGCGGCAGTTGTCCCCTATTTTGTTCGCCCTAAGTATCGAACCTTTGGCAGAGGCCATACGTCGAGACGATCATATACAAGGAATCAGGGATGGAAAGGGGGCAATTCATAAAACTGCCCTCTTCGCTGATGATATTTTATTATTTATAAAACACCCTCTTACATCAGTCCCCAGACTCATGCATTGCTTTAATCTTTGAGTTTGTCCTGTGTTGTGGTGATAATTGTGTTTTATAATCTGCTCAAATGACCTGTACAGCGCTTTGATTTTAGCTTTGGCTGACTGAAAGCGCTTAAAGGAATATGGTGATATATCTGGATATACAATTAACCAAAGTAAATCAGAAGTATTAATGACGTCGGGACAACGGCAAGCCAACTTAGTGAGATTTTTTATTGGTCAGAAAAAGGTTTCAGGTATTTAGGGATAATTCTTACACCCAAACCTTCACAACTGTTTGATGCTAATTATAACAAATTGATAAAGAAAATCAAAATTGACTTGTCCATATGGGAGGTCCTACCTTTGTCCCTATATGGCAGAGTGGAAACTGTTAGAATGAACCTGCTTCCTCGTCTTCTGTTCTTGTTTCAACTTTGCCAGTAAGAGTCCCAGTCTCAACATTTAACATACTCAGCAAATTAATATCTCAATTTATTTGGCAACAAAAAAGACCAAGAATTAGACTAAAAACACTTCACTTACCCAAAAACAGGGGTGGTTTAGCTCTACCCAATTTAAAATGGTATTATTGGGCAGCGCAGTTATCGGCCATTGTGACTTGGATTGAAGGGGATGAGGAAGCAAAATGGCCTCAAATAGAACAGGGTGAAACTAAAGGTATACAATTATCTACTCTTCCCTTCCTAGATATCAGAACTGTTAATAAAATGTAAATTGGAAATGAATGGACCAAACACACTTTAAAAATATGGACAGAGGTTAAAAAGATGCTTAGAGATACAGGGTCAGTCTCCAGAACTATGCTTATTGTGGATAATATAGACTTTCCACCTTCCACATGGGACCAAGGCTGTAAGAGATGGGCAGCTAAACCAATTATTCGATGGGGCTGACTTACAGTCCTTCGCACAACTTTAGGAACAGTTTGATCTCCCCGCAAATTATTTATATAGATATTTGCAAATTAGGCACTACATTATTAGTCACAAGGAACGTAATAGACTTAATAGAAACCCAAATGATATAGAACAATATTTTATTACTATTGGAGAAAAGACCTTTCCAACCCGGAAACATGTCTCACATTTATATAAAATTCTCTCATCTAATAACTGTCAAAATACCTATAACGTAAAAGAAAACTGGGAATTAGAATCCAATTCTATAATAGAGGACGAACAATGGGACATATTGTGCGAGGGCAGTCGCAAAGGAACTAACAGCCAAATGTGGAAAGATTTCAGTTGAAAAATTTTAATAAGATTTTTTCGCACCTCGTTTTTAATTTCTAGATTTGTCAAAAATCTTTCAGCGGCCCTATGTTGGAGACAGTGTGGGAAGATTGGTGACCATACGCACATTCTTTGGGACTGTCCTGTTATCAGTGAGTACTGGGAGGGGATTAGGGATGAAATAGAGACAATTATAAACAGAGAAATGCCTTCAAATGCTTTGTTTTATTTCCTAAATATAATACCAGATTATTTTAATGAAGACCAAAAGTATATTTTGCACATTTTACTATTAGTAGCTAAAAAAAATATAACGGCTACTGGAGACAAGTTTTGTCACCATCTATAGCAGAGTGGAAGAATAGGGTAAATATAGGGCACTTCACAAGCGGCAGATGCTGGAGTTGGAAAACCTGAACTGTTGCTGCTCCACATCAACCAATCAGAGAAGCTGATCTAAGGCTGGAAGGGAGACAGACAGAACACTGCTGATGCAGGGCGCTACGATCAATCCCCTGAAACTATTTATTAAGCCTAATTAACTTTATTTCAGTAACCATCATTGCTATACATTTAATAATGACAATGATATTTGCAACAATAAAACAACCAAAACATTCATAAATAATTAAAACTTTAACAATTTGATTAAAGCTACCGAAAACATAGAAAGAAGAAATTACTTTTAATAGTGTTATGCAAATTGTAAACTACAAGATGCAGTTACTGTTTAGTAGTAAATTAGAAGAAATTAAAATATTCAGAGATCCACAGATCAGGTGGGAGAACCTCTCAGCAAGATAATCTGTCTCTAATAAGAGTATTTTTCTTTAAGGACTATTTTTAGTACCTAAACAGGGCTTGATGTTAACCATCGCCCGATCGCCCGGGGCAAGTAGTTTTTATTGTTGCGAGAGTACAAATTTCATTGCATTTGTCCGCCGGGCAAGTGCAATGATCGCAAAAAAAAATTATTTATCACTCAAAATTACTTTAAAATCACCGACATTCACTGAAAATGACCCAGAAGCGTTGCCGGCGCCATTTTTGTTGTTTTGTACACATTCTTGCGTGATATGAAAAAGGCGCGTGATTTGATAAATCCAGGTGATTTTTGTCCACCTAGCGGTAATTTTGGTGTAGTTACCAAAACGACAAACAAGCTAGAAAGCGCTATCATATGGCAGTCTGTCAAACTTCAGTCCTATGGAGGTTGGACTACAGTTTTCATGCTAGATCAGAGCTGCAGGAGGATCTTTGTTTCTGTGGCTCACTCAGCAAAGCCTTGGACACCATGTCCCCCTTGAATGTGATGTCACCCAACTGAAGTGTTGCTCAAACATAACATCAAATGATGAATATTACCCTGTTGTTTTGTTTTATTTATTCTATCCCCTCATGAAAAAAAACAAACAAATAAACAATGATCTCCCCCTAACCCCCACTTGTAAAACCTGTTCTTGAACCGCCACTGTACTGTTTCTGTACATTTACTTAAGTAAAGAATGTGAAAACTTCTGAAACCTCTGCTATGGACTGAACTAATCTAGTTTTTGTTGAAGATTTCCTAGAAGAAAAGCTATTAGTAAAAGAAAGAAAACTCAATGTAAAGTCCACCACAAGCTGTGAATGTAGACACCAAACCTGTGTATTTAGTTTAAACCAAAGTCAAACTCAGCCTACATGCAAAATAACCCAGACTGAACACTGAATGAGAGGTTCACCTCCCAGCAGGATCCCTTCCCCTGAGCCTGAAGACAGAGCTACTTTTTCACAGTTAATACGAAAGCAGTTGCGAGTGAAAGGTCACAGGTCACGACAATAGAAATACATGTAACCAAGCCTTGGTTACATTTAATTCTGTGGTCATTACACTTAAAGATTAATACATGAAGATGAGAGAAGAGGAGTTGGAATGAATATTAAAAAAATAAAATTTTTATGTTCCTGATTTTCACTCATTCTCATCTTTCTGCTGTTGGTGCTTTTACTAAGTGATCCATAAAGAGATCGACATAAAAACTTGCTGGGTTCAGAGATTTTTTTCACGTTTTTTTTTGTCAAGTTCATCTCAACAGAGACTGAGCAGAAAATCTTTGCTAAATAAAAGAATCTCAAGCATGTTTTGTCTGATATAGATAGATAGATATAGATATTGTCTGGACTACATGGTCAAAACTTCTTCCTAGCTTATGTAGGTCTATATAAACTAGAAACTGTTTCTATCTTTACATCTGTTCATTATCTACTTAGAAAGTCCTCCTCTACTAACTTATACTTATATAATCAATACTTAATATAGGAAGGGAGTCTTTTGTCCATCCGTTTTTTTCTTTAAATCTGGAATCTAATCCTGCAGGAGGCGCCTGGCCGTAATAACCCTGCTCCTCACTCTAGTTTACAGCCTTCTAACCAATAGATTCAAATAGTTAAAGGGACTTTCCGTCAGGTATTTGGTTTATATTTATCTAATATTTCCTTTGAAGGTTTATGTCTATCAGTGTTGATTGAAGAGTGGTATCTATGCATTTTTGCCCCATAAAGCTTTATAATAACTTTTCAGATAGAGCAATATTTTTTCTATTTGCAGATCATTTTATAAACATTCTCAAAAAGGGCAAATTAACTTATTTTAAGATGTTAATTAGTGTTTTTTGACCTCTTTTTGAGACGCAGCCTTTTCCTCCATCTTCTTTAATAAGCAGTAATGTTTAAACATAAGATTGGCCTAAAAGTCTGGATCATTCTATTTGATTCATTAACCCTTTAAAACCTAACCAGGAAACAACTGTCTTAGAATTCAATAACAAATACAGAAGAAAAAAAAACTAGAATTGCCATTTAACATTCTGATACATAGATGTTTATATAATTTACGAATTTTTGAGCATTTCCATGCACTTTATTATAGATTTTCTGATCATTACAAATCAGGATTTAGGAACAAAAATAGGTTATCTGGAGAAGGAAGCAAAATGTCTCTAGACTATAACTGATTATATGGTCTCAAAAACATATCAATCAAATATGAAATACCTGGTATTAGAAGGGTTGACTTGGTATTTAAACATGTTAGAAAAGAAGGAAAACTTTAATTTCCATCATCCAGAACATCGTTCACCTTTACACAGACTATAAACTGGCCCAAGATGAGCTGTGGCCTCTCTCAGTGGGGGTGTTCCCTCAAAGGGTTTAGAGAGGATGTGCCGCCTGTTTAGCACATCCTGCAGACAGCTGCTATGTTTGTGAGAATCAGACACCAAACACTGAATGCTGGGTGAGGAGGTGAAGAACCAACAAGAGATTTCATGATAAATAACCTTTATTCTCTTCAAATGTAAAAACATAATAAATACATGCTATTTACAAAAGTGGGTTTTAAAAAAAAAGCTTGAGAAGTTAGGTGTATATATTAGTTCAATTTTGCAACTCATGTGAGGTGTTTGCATCACTCAGTACTGTCCAGTAAATGTGAAAGGTTCTGATTGATCGTCGTGCCTCCAGGACTGCTGGCTGGTGTAGAACCTGTCACCTAAATCCTAAAGAACAAAAAGAAAGAAAGAAATCATTTTAACTGGGAGGTTATGGAAAGCTGTGTTCATTCACTTAAAAAGAAACTGTAAGTTTACCTGACATGGATGCTGCAGACATGAGAGCTGCTCTGTGTTCACAGCCGTTGGTTGACCCAGGAACTGGCTGAGTGTTTGGACCTGCTCCACGAAGCTTCCTGATCTCCGCTGCTCCAGGACCTCCTGGCTGAGCCCCAGCTGCTCTGACAGGTAGGAGATGTATCGAATGGTGAGCCGCAGCGTCTCGATTTTGGTTAAGACCTGTCCGGCTGGAGCCACAGAGGAAGGAAGGTAGGTCCTGAGCTCATGCAAAGCTTTGGTCAGATCCCTCATCCTCAGCTTCTCCCTCTCGCTTGCGGTCTGTCGCTTTTTACTTGGATATTTGGACCTGGATTTCCTCAAGGGGACAGCCGGTGAAGAGGAGTGTCTTGAGCTGAGGATGGTCTCCTTTGTTTGGGATGTTTGGGGCTCCGCAGAGCTGCTCAAGAGGAAACGGTTCAAGGCATCTTGCTCGTTTACTGAGGCCTGGAGGGAGCCGGGCGAGAAGCAGAACGAGTCCACAGAGGAGGTAGGAGAAAGGCTGCTGCCCGCGCTGACATAACCAGGATCTGAGGACGGATCAAAAGCTGGAGACTTCTCTAGAAGAAGATCGTAGTCAAAGAACAAGGAGTTCTCCTGCAGCTGAAGGGGAGAACAGTTGGACGTTTCCATAGTCACTGCTGAAGTACCGCTGGTCCAGTTAGTGAGCTTCAGTGGAAGGATGCACTGGATATGGAGAGGAGAGAGGGAGGCTGCTCAATATATGTGGAGAGGGGTGTGAGGTGTCACCTCCTGAGAGCCACCTCTGGTCCTGAGAAGCTCTGGGAGCAGAGCTGACACCCATGCCGGGGGTCCCATGGGAAACTGGCATGCTCCACCAAGGTGTGATCAACCTCTGCTAGTGTCAGCACTGGGCTTCTTCAGGTGTTTGGAAACGACACCAACACGCCGGCGCCACATGCGCAGCCTTAAAACGGACATTTTCACTAGAATAAAAATACAAACATCTATATTTTTTTAATTCCCTCAGTGTCGCAGTGTTATGAGCAAGTGCTTGTTTGAATAAAGCTCTAGGCCTCAGTGTTTGTTGTGTACTAACACTGCCTGCATGAATAAGAAGAAAAAAAATCGGCTTTATAATTGATGAATGCTTTGGTCTTAGTCCTTCCTGTCATCTCACCCTTTCCAAAACCAAGCTGGAATAAGTGTGCCGTGTCATCTGGGAGGTGTGAATGATTAACGCCTTTAGTTGTGTGGACAGCAGCTGGCCTCAGGCCTCCAAACCTGCATGGAAAGGAATCATTTAATAACCCCTAATGTTCACAGCAAACTTTGATTAACCTCAGGAGTTTAATTGTGGCTTAATTGCGTTTAAATATGAAGAAATGAACGCTGCTGTGTGGAGAGCTGCGGGGAATGTTGCTGCAGTTCATGATGCACTTTTAACATGAATAAAAAAATATTTTTTAACAATAACCTTTTTGTGGCTTACATTTCTTTTAGAGGACATTCACTGTTATCTGTTGAATAGTAGTGTTGCCCCTATAGTAGGGTTTCTGTAAAAAATAACAACCATATTGAAGCAGTGTTTTAGATATTTGTTTAATACTTGATCAAGTATTAAGAGAAATAAATCAGAGTCACATTTAATGGGCTTAATATTCTGTTCAACTCAAAGGAAAAATATAAAACCTAAACAAAATAATTATCATTTTGATTCAGTTACAGAATCCAGCCTGGTTGATAATGAACTGCAGTTCATTGCAGTACTATCAACAGGATATTTTGTTTGCTGAAAAAAAAAAACCCAGAGAAGGAAGCAACATGTTTCTAGAGTAACAGGGATATCCTGGAGCTCAGTGGGTTAAAATGGGATAGAAAATGGGCCAACCGGTCAGGGAGGGGCTCGTCGGCCTCCAGCAGCTGCAGGAACATCTGGTAATGAGGTAAGGTAGCAAACGCAGAATGTTTTCCCATAATGAAACCATCTATGCCTTATTAAAGCATTACAAAAAGTGAGTTGGAGAATGTAGCCTCATGCCCCTCATGATGGGGTATGAGGCTACATCATGAAGCTTTGTTTTTTTCCTTTGTTCCAGACTTTTTTCAAAGTGTAGAAAGTAAGGAGACTAATATAATGAAGAAAAGGAAAGATTTTATGTTTTAGCATATCTTTGACCCCAAGTGTTCATTTAAAACCAAAAAAAGAAAAGCTTCAATGGTAGAAAATTTGTCTTTTGGAGAAATAAACTCGAGAGATTTCCTCACTGCATAAAAGATGCTTAAATATTGAAGGACTCTTTCCAAACTAGGCTGAATATCTTTATTACACATTAAAATATTGTAAAAGTAAGAGATGATCTTTCCAAAGACTGACCTTTGAAGGGATCTGTTTCCCCTTCCACTGTGGAGCTGAGTCCCAGGTCTCTTTCCCACAAACCGCCGTGTTACATTTAACTCCTGCACAAAGGTGTGAACTGGCTCTACACAGCTTTACACCACCACACTAATGCAAGAAAAACAGACATTTGAGAGTAAATAAACATTCAAAGTAAAAGCAGAACCCATCTAGAAACACACAACACAGATAGAATAGAAATACCCTTTTTTGTACCTTAGTGCTGAGATTTAGATGGGTAATTATACTAAATTTAAGAGCTGAACGATGATGAATTAAATAAAACCCAGTGTCTCCAGCTGTCTGGGGAAATCTTATTATCAAACCAAGTGTCAGATTTAACCCTGTGAAGCCTTTGAAAGCAGAGAAAGGTTATGAAAGAAAACCCAAAGCTTCTAACATCCCACAGAGCTCTAAGGCTGGCAGATATTTCAATATTTAATTGTGATCATTATAAAAGTAACAAACATAAATAAAATAAAAAGGTGTTTATTAGGTTACTGTAGGACTGTTTGCCATAGCATTCATATTTAAAATATGCTTCTTCAGGAGACATAAAAAAGTATGATTGATATTATTAAAGATCCCACAGTGACTGCATTTCACCCGATTCTTCACGTTTGTCAACGTTCCCAAGGACAAAAGAAAGAAAAAGAAGAAAAAAAAAGTAAAAATTAAAATTTGTGTTTCGTGTTTTCTATGCCTGATCGCCAACATCAACCCGTCAATTCAACAAAATATTCCTGTTATGTAAAAAAGAGCTTTTTAACTAACGTCCACTAAAAGGTCAGAGGACGATAGAGTGACCAAAAAACAGTACTAAGAGGAAGCACTACTTTAAGACTCAGAAATAATTCACCCGGATTTCAAATGAAACTTTTAAGATGAACTGATGATGCTGATTGGCTTTCGCGGAGGCGTGGTTCAAAGCTGATTGGCTGTGTCCTAGGCGGATGAAGGCGAGTAATCAGTTAATTTAGTTGAACTTTCACCTTAGGCTCCATTACTCAGCAAACAGCTACAGACCCATTTCACAATTGTTAGTTCCTACAAAAATTTAATTAATGAAAAAGAAAAATCAAAAAATGAGCAGGTGAAGCAGGCTGGACCAGTTTCTGCCAATACCAAGGCTTTTAACGATGTGTTTGATGACTGCTGCACTATATTTGGAGTGGTTTGGTTTGAAGGCTTTTGGACGGTGGATTCACAAACCAGACCATAGCTTGGCTCTGAAATGATTTAAGTGGCCGCAAATAGTTTGTATAACTTGGTGGTCTAACAAAAAGTAATTTGGACATTACAAAAGGAGTCCCCCAAAGCTCAGTTTTAGGGCCCACTTTAATCACCATAAACACACCTGGACAGCATCTCAAATGTTCAGCTGTGCATCTCTATGCTGATGATTCTGTGATCTGTTGTTCTAAATCCAATCATTTAAAAATCATTTGGTTTTAACTTTCAAACTTAGTTTGGTACTGAATGCAGGTACTAAACTTAAGGTCTATTATTGCTCACCACTGCCTAAAACTGTCTCAAGACATGAATAGTACATGGATTTTGTAACATCTTATTAAATATCTCTGAATACATATTGATGATATTTTGATCTTTAATAGTCACATTGAACATTAATTTTTCATATCAGGCCAAGAGGCCGTTGTTGTCTGCCAGCTTCATGAGCGTTTTAGACTAGATGTTGTTTGTATGAAGGCCTCGGTCAGCTAATTTCCTTAATTAATCTATTCTCCATCTGATGCCACAATAATTATCTTGTTACTTTAAATGCTAAACAAATCATCCATTCTCTCCCCTCCCAAAACTATGTTTCCATCCATGTTTTATCAGTTCATACAGAGCCTGGGGAAAAAGGTCTTCTCCTGTTCTTCTTCTCCGAGAGGAGCACACTTCGAAAGGACCGAAGCTGTCCACTATGGTCAGACTTGAGGATAAGGTCTATTTGTACTTTTTAAACTTTTGTCATGAAATTTTGAGCTTTAAATCTTTAATTGCTGTATATTTGATCAGGTTTCTCCTTCGAATTTGACATCGAGTCTTAAGAAACTAACCTGTATAAATAAAGGATTGAAGATTTTAGAGGGTTTAAACATGATCACTTCTAATTGATCCTTTGGATCGTATGTCTTCAACAGGCGGTTCGTGAAAGTTTTGGTTGATTAGACTTTTTTTTATATATTCCCCTCTGCAATTTTTTTCCAGTAATTGAAATGTCTTTAAATCTACATTAACATGAATTCAACACACTGTAGTAAACAGATAAATCAGAAATACTTTAATAATCCCAGCGCGGAAATTCTTTCGTTACATTACTCCATATGTAATAGAATGACTATAGGACCAGTTTGATATAACACAATTTTATACAATATATATAGTTAGGGGTCCCTGCTCCATCTCGCCATCAGTTCGGGGTCTTTGGCCCGGAAAACGTTGAAGACACCTGCTGTAGAGGATGAATCAACATTTTTGTCATGATCAGATATTGAAAGTGAAATCTCGATTACAATGTAAATTGTAGTTGATAATAAAGAAACTGATTGATTAATTGATTGACTGATTGATTGATTGATTGATTGATTGATTGATTGATTGATTGATTGATGTCGTCACAATAAACGGCCTCTCCTGCAGAGCTCTATACAATCCTAGATTCAAAATAAGAAATAAAATGGTATGATAAATAACCTTCGTGTTTCCATGGTTTTTATATAAGGTGAAAAAAGGTTAGAGGGTATGAATACTTTTTTATCGGTTATCCTTAAGCATCATAAATATTAATGAACGATAAATGTACACTAAAGTCATTAAATCTGTTCAGAGAAAGGATTCTGCTTTTCTAGATGATCCCAGACAGTTTTAACTAACATCTACCAGGTGAATTTTCATTGGAGTGCTAACCTCTTTCATCCCAGTCTCCATCGGAGCAGAGAGGTTATTAGCTTCGCTGTGATGACAGACTTAAGTGAGTATATTAGTCTTTAGCCGGTGGCTGGGAAATCAAACGAGCCGAGTGTATGTGGCAAACCAAACACCAGGCCTAATTCTACCAGGCTGATATGCTGATCAACCCTCCTTGATGAATATTAAAGTCCTCTCAGCTGGATTTAGCAAGAGATCGAGGCAGGAGGTGAGAAAAGGGGGGGAGGTAGCAGGGTGAGATTGCAGTCTAGACTCAGCGGAGCCAAGGATCTTTCTGTTTGCAACGCCTCATTAACAAGGAAACTCTAAATAGACTAAGTAAACTGTAACATTATTCAGCCTCTGCTCGGCCAACTCGTAGACCCCCCCCCCACCTTAGACGTAAATGACTTCCATCTCTGTTTAGAAAATTGGCAGATTTTTTATAATTCAGCCAGAAACACCAAGTGTGCATCTGATTCATGTTTAAACGCATTTTTGGGAAAAT